TTAATTATCCATACCTTGAAAGTATGTTTAGAGGTTTATTTTTTTTTTTCGAAGTAAATTCTGAAGTGAGTACACTAATGCAACAAGTTGATAAGAAATAAATATAGATTGTTTCACTCCAAATTTATTACACTAGTGTATATCAATTCAGAACTTTCTTCGAAAAAGAACAGGCTTTATCTAAATGAAGAGGTAATTTATTTTTAACTTTAAAAGATTAATTAAATGATTTATACAGTCTTCTTTAAGATCGGCGATATTCTCCTGGCGCTCATATATCGTGCACTGCCAAATTTTCATTGAACACATGATCTAAGGCACTGCCAGTGAGACATTACAGAACAGAAGTGTAAAAAGAGATATCATAGGTTCTGCCGAGAAGTCCTACCCGCATTTCGAATCGATCTGTATTTCATCGGGACGACTCCTCAATGCCATACGATGTTTCATGAACAATCTTCATGCGTTCTTGATTCCGCTTTTGGGCCGAAACACGATAAGATATAAAAATGAAAAACAAAGGAGCAAAGAAGTACTATTAGACTAATCTTAATGTATTAAAATTTACAAAAAATATAAAAATTCGGAATGTCATTTAAAAGATATTTGAAAGATAAGGACATCTTTGTTAGACATTTTAAGCGTTTGTGTTACTTTCGAAGTAAAATTTTATATTTAATCTTTAGTCTTTTCATATTTTTATCTTCATTTTATATTTTATTGTGTTTCGATCATTCATCATATATTCGCCTAATTTTGTTCTTTTGTGGCGCGATTATTCCCTCTTTCCGATTGTTATTTCTGTCGTTTCATCTTGTCAATTTTTTATCGTATAATCTCTGCTCATGTAAAACAAATTGTCAATCAAGATTGTATCGATTAGGCAAGGGACCAATCTTTTATGTACGTGAAAACTTATCTGCCATTTCTGGCATAAATAATCGTTTTCATGGAATATGTCTTTCTTTGCAACCGACCAATTAGATCAATCGTATTTTAAGACTTTTTAGTTGATACGCGAACATTTAAGTTTAATTTATTAGAGAGAGAGAAAACGAGCTGAGCAGAAATTATTCCTTTAGTTATTAAGTTATTGTCATTTTCTTTTTTATCATTTTCTTAATATTAGTGTAAAGATGAAACGATGGACAGAACTTTCGGTTATTTAAATCGCGCTTGATCTCGTGGAATGGAAGAATCGCGACAAATGGTAAAGAGTGAGAGAGAGAGAGAGAGAGAGAGAGAGAGAGAGAGAGAGAGAGAGAGAGAGAGAGAGAGAGAGAAGCTCTCTTCGAATGTTCTTTCAATTATATTCCCGCGATATAAAATTAAATTCGAGCGGATGAGCAATATAAAAATCATGGAAAGGTACAATAAAGGTACGTTAAGTTTTAATTTTTTGGACGATATCGGTACCTTAGCGATCCTGTTTACGATAAGTTTATTCGAGTTGCGAATATATTTAGAACGTTCTTGTGTATAATTATGTAATGGAGAGTCTAATTCCGATTAAGTATTTTCTCTCGTGCGTTATTTCCCTGTTGTAACTAATTGCGAATATGAGTTACACCTGCGTTCATTGATTACGGTTACACGGATACCTGTAATCGGGTTTAACATTCGTAGTTAGTATTGACTAATCACATTCGTGATTCCATTCTTTAAAGGAACAGCTGTGATTGACCAGTTAACTACGATGTTATTAAATCCCGATTAAGAGTGTCCGCGTAAATGTAATTATTGTCACTAGCCAAGAAAACGAATGGACTGCATTTAGCTAAAAAAATTTTTTAGGCTGTGGCATGGCGGTCGCATTTTTTTAACATGCACGAATCGACAGCAGTAAATAAATTTTCTTCTGTAAACATAAAAGATCAAAAAATACACATGGTCTAGCCACATACACATGTGCGTAACTGTAGTGTCTCGTGTATTTATCATTGTTCGTACCATCGGCCTGCTGATAATTCTAAATTATCGTTGTAGAATCAATATTGAATTTTTTATAATAATAATAATAATAATAAAGAGATGGAAGGCTGAAAAGAAAGCGGGGGGGTACGCGTAAAAGCAGCGTAAAACGATTTGTATACGTTTGTAATGCACGAAGTCTGGCCGGAAATCATCTCATTTCTATGATTTCTGGTTTCCTTTTTTTTTTTACATATGTTTCGTGCATTTTTAAAATAGAATTATATAAATCAATCCACGCGATGTTGCGTAATACATTGAACAATATAAAGCATAAGGGAAACGTTATGAAGTGTTCTCTAAATTAATTAGGTCTGTATTACCGTGGAAAAAAGAGCAAAAAATATAACGAAACGAAATACATGAACACTCATTCTTTTTTTTCCTATGCATTTTTAGAAAGAATTTTGCGGAACATACACACACATACACACATTCACATTTACATAAATATATATACATTTGTACATTTAATTTTTTTGAACGGTGCGTGCGAGAACGTGAAAGAGAAAAAGAGAGAGAAAAACATTAGCTATAATTAATATAGGAGAAAAAAAATATATAATGAGCGCGAGAAAGGGAAAGAATGAGAGGAAAGAATGAAAGGAAAAAATGCGAAAGAAGTATGAAGAGGTACAGGAATTCTGTGGGCATCGTATTTTTGCAAAAATTAGAAGAAAGCGCAAATGAATGGAATACGAAAGAATTAAATTTTACCTGTGAGATTCTCCCTATCTACTTAATCAGAGATTTCATTAAAATAATTATCTGGTAAATGCGAATCTTATTTTCAGAGAATAAATTTTACTTTTCTTTTTCTAAAAATCTACGCGAAAAATTTAAGAAACATTCAGAATACTAATTGCATAAATTTTCAACTTAAAAAGATTCGTGAAGTTAAAAAATTAAAGAGTGACAAATTTATTAGATTGCATTAATTTATTGGACATGATATTAGACATTGGAATACCGTGAATAAATTTAGATGTACGCAAGTGATTTTTCGCGTGAAATTTCTTGGATCGTTCTGACAAAGCTGAGAAAGCAAACTTCTACGAGTACACATGTACACAAACTCGAGGATCTCACATGGCATTGACGAAAGAAGGAGTAAGCGTTACAAACATGCGAGGGCTCGGTGCGGCTTTTCAGTTTTCGTCGTACTCGATCGTCACTGTACGTGGATGTAGCAGCGTGTCAATAGAAGTTACAAGGCTTGTAAATGTATAAAGGAAAAGCAACAGCACACCGGGAGATACGGTCGCAGCGGATATTATTTTGAGCGGGCGGCGGCGAGATGGAGATCGAGAGACATAATTTTTCGACCAGGTTTCTTTGCCGCAGCTCGGGAATTGTAAATAATTGAATGTGACGCGATATACAAAGGCCCTCCCCCGAGATAAGTGCATATAAATATAGCTTATTACAGATATAGTGTTTGCATTTATTATAAATTCTATATAAAAGCGTGACGAGAGATTCAAGCGATCGCGACGAGGGCCGCCCATATCTTAGTTAGCGAAACACCGTTTATTCGTATAATCAGTATTAGAAACGTCTTTCTTCCTCAATTCCAAAGAATCCTGTAAATCACCACGTATTTTTGTTATTATTTAACTCGCCAATTTTATTTGATCGATTAATTTTGTTTTTTTTTTTTTTTTCTATAAATAGTGTATGATATAAACCGTATTATTACGATAGATATCCTTATTGTGCTTTGTGCTGAACCCTTTATCGCATTGATGATCCGATATTGATCGCGGCCCTGCGAGATTGCTTCGGTTAGAGAAGTGCTTGTACTTGTATAAAAGTAGGAAAATATATTGCATAGTTTAAACTAATATGGTTTATAGCGTGTAGAGAAAAAACTTGAAGTATATACACGAGCGACGACGACGAAAACTGATGAGCTCACTTATTTACAATTTAGCTTCGTTATCTCACAAGCCCTATAAGTTCTTAAAAGGAAATGGGAAGACAATATTTTTCGCGCTACGAATGAAGCGACGAGGATCGAGCATGATTTCAATTACCTGAAATATATCGGCTCAGATATTTAGCCAAACGATCTCACGATTTCTCGTCGCTTCGCCGAAGTCGATATAGAGCTTCTCATATCCAACAAGACTCGACAAGACTCAAATTGCGTAGCAAAGAGGGTTGTTTCGCACTGCCAAATAATAATAAAAGAAAAGACAACTTGCGTTCATTGTGTGGATCGACCGATCGTTAAAGCACCGCCGGTGTTCATTAATCCACATAGTTGTTCTACGAGAATGAAAAAAAAAGGAAAAATTCGGAATAAAAGCTAGAAAAAAAAAACGAAGAGCTTTTCCCGAAGTCCGAGCGAATGAGAGACGAATAAGAGAGAAATATCCGAGCGTCGAACAGTGCTTTGTCTTTTTTGGATATTTTCATGTACAAACACGAATGACAGTTTATAGCTCAAGAACAGAACATTAAAGAGATAGATATTGTAAGAGAATAATAATAATTTCACGGTTGCGATATCGTATTCTTGTTGTGTCTCTTTACTTACCATTCCTGAAAATAATGACAGATTCCTAATCTTCAGCCAAGTCGAATGATCATCTTCTTACTCTCGTTTCTCGATCCATCAAGTCTAATTCGATATTTAATCGCTAAAACATTATGAATCGAACATTTTTTTATAACCCAAATATAAAAATGAATAAGTTACAAGATTTCGATTAAAAATAAAATGATATAAATATTTTGACACATGTCGAAATATGGAAAGCTATCGCGACACATACAAACTAACAGTAACATTACATCACAATTTCTCACACAAATATAAATGTAATATAATACATATTGTACGTTGAGAAAATTATAACATTGATGTTACTGTTAATTTGTATTCTGCGAGTATTAAGTTTTAAAATTGCATACTATTAGACGTTTTGATTGGGGCGGAAACTGGATATATCAAGGAGGATTTCTTCTCTCTGTGGGTACATTTTCCGTCTCAGGATGACGGTGAAAAGAGAACCTCAGGCAGATTAGTTGAACATGATTGATTATTATTCATCGTCGAAACATTGCACGTACTTTGCAATTTACAATACAATACCTATAATACAAAATACTAATAGTAATTGCTTGATAATAATATTAATGATAGTGATAACTGAAATATGAAGATGGAGGACAGGAAGAGGATGAGCAGGGGAGCGAGATTAAACGTAGGAATGCTAGATGATAATAAAGAGTGGGTCCAAAAATTCAGTCGATCGCAGTACGATTATCGAGCTACGGCTCTCAATGGCTCTCCTTGGCACTTGCCGTTCTCACATCAGAGCATGGTGTACAGAGTGTCATGAGAAATGCACGTACGAATATATCCCTTCATAAAATGTTCGCCGATTCTTTCTTACCGAAAGTTTCGTCAGGAAGATTAAATAGTGGATATAACAAATATTTGGAGTATCATCGAGCGGATCGTAGCACGAATGATACAAAACCAATATATCGATTGTTTATATTCATTAGCATTTGCTCGTTCGCGATTTTACTACTTAACATTGAATACTTACTTATTAAAATTTCCCGCAGGCAAGTAATAAAATCTTTTTTCTTTTTCGAGACACTCTGTATCGCACATGTTGCGTTCCCCACGTGACGCGAATTAATCGGTAACGGGAGTTGAACCCGAGAATAAGAGAAAGAGAGAGAAAGAGAGAGAGAGAGAGAAAGAGAGAGCTCTCCAGAAGAAATTAACTAATCCGATAGAACCATTAAAAATTGCGAAATTGCGTTTCACGTTGCGGTGTGTTTTAGTCTTCACGTTGAGATCGCAATCTTGCGAACCGGTGATTTTAACGGTATTTCCACAACATCCGAGACATCATGTCTCGAATTTTCCGTGGCCGATTAATCCTCGTCACATGTAGGGAACAGCCCTGTGTTGCACGTCGTGTGTATGTGTGTGTGTGTGTGTGTGTGTGTGTGTGTGTGTGTGTGTATATATATATATATATACATATACTATACATATATAAATACTTTACTGGTAGGTTTTAACAAGGAAGTCATCCGCGTGCGCGTAAAGCAATGATTCTCGGATCCCGATTCTTCGCGTGTGCCTCAGGGATCACGATCGATCACGCGTAGCGAAGAAAAAACACGGAAGAAAAAACGAGGGGTACAGGGAAGTGGAGGGAACAACTAGATTACAAAGTGTGTCCTCTTACGCGTCATCGTGTGTTACGCAATTCGTTAACTCTCTCGCGTAAATTTTGATATATAAGACTACTATATTACTTTTGGCAGGAATGTCGCAATTATATATATAATATATATATATAATCTCGGCCGCAAACCGTGCTCGGCGCTTAGCGCATCTCCTGGTCCACGTAGCTGATGTGCACGCACATCCGTACGGGACGCCACGTGGCCGCACGCGCCACGTGCACGGCAAAGAAAAATAAAGCCTCGTCTCTCAGCCGATCTCTCTATTTGCTGCATTGTACGAGCCGTCGTGATGCACGCGTGTCATATATTGTTTCTCGCTGACCTGCAAGAGTTTAGGAAATAATCTCGCAAATGATACACGCGATTCCGCACAGCGTATACATCTGGTGAACATCATCGAATGTGTATTATCGGATATAGAATAGTTTCGCGCGTATTCATTAAAGTATTCAAAATATCTTATGATACTTCGATTTGTGGATATTAAGTATAATATCGGCTTTCTTTATTCTTAACTTAAATATTGTTTTATAATATTCAAAGTAAATCTCGAAAAAGTCATCATTTTTAAAAAAGAAAATTAAAAAGATAAATGTGTAAGATATGATGCGCAAACGCGATATATATATATATATACATATATATATATATATAAAATACAAAGAACGTTCAAGAGTATACTTGGTATTTACGCTGTGTTGAATCTTGCTGCTTGTATAAAAAAAAAAAACGACGACGATGAAGTATATTAAAAACCACACGGCGACTCACGCGCGCTCGCACTTGTGCTGCACAAAATGCGATTTTTGCTTTTGCCCAGCGTTCGCGAAGGCGTAGAAACGATAATCAAGAAGGTTCAGTATGTATACATATGTGATGTGATGTGTGTATGTGTGTGTGTGTAAATATTTGCAATTAATTTGCAAGAAGATTTTGGACCGCGCGCTTGTGCGAAGAGAATCCAATCCAATCATTAAAGAGCTTCATCAATTTCATGCTTGCGAAAGATATCTCGCCCGCACGATTTTGATTTGTATTCATATTCGACAATGATGTATGAACAAAAAGTTTTCCGGCTCAAGGAAGCTTTTCACGTGGATGGAAAGAGTACGACTTACTTTACACAAGCTAGGAGTAATGATGATGCATTATAACGAAGTATAGTGCTGCACATCCTTTTGTCACGCGACTACGCTTTCTCGAAGGATTCATCAGTGGAGCGTTATAGTCGCCGTATAATTATAATAACAATGTTCTAACAATAATATTAATATAATAATAAAATCATAATACTAATATTAATAATATTTGCAATTATAAACTAGGAAGAATCTCTAATGACTTCGCGAGTAGAGCTTTGTGATTAGGCGTTTGAGCAGTGTCTAGACACGAGAGAAACTAAAAAACCGCGTTTGTTCAATTAACAACTAATCAGTTATGTGATTTTCGCGCTGAAATCGCGCATCGTCACTGAAATCGTCACCGTCGATACTTCGTCGGATTAGAGGGGGATCGAGAGTAAGCGAGACTGCTGTAGTGCTTTTGCTTAAAATTGGTTTAGAAGCGGCGATTTGCAAAAATTGTCTCAACAGTTCTATGTTTCTCGGAGCGAAGAGTGTCGTGTCGTGTCGTGTAAAAGTATTAAAACACCTCGTAGTTCGATAGAAACATGAAAAACAAACCGATATGCATTGCACATTCACAACTCACGCACGCGTACACGCATCAAATGCATTTCCTTTCTATCTCCATCTCAACTGTTCGTCTTCTTTCGTCAGAATGTATATATCCGCTCTTTCGTGCCCTTAGGCCGCTCACGTTCTCTCTACGACGCAGCGAATCGGTTTGCGGATCTGTCGACTCACTCACGAACAGGCTGGTGATGGACAAATTTATAATCGACCGTGCGTTCATGTGTGACAAACCAATCCTCTATTGTAGTGCAACGTCGAACGTACGCTCACACTCGTTAAACTTACTTGGTAAAAACGCGCTCAATTATTTTCTCGGTATACTTCCTACGACTCCTAGACGCTCGATTAGAATACAATTTACTCTTGGAAAAAAGTCCAAGCGATCGCGCTTTATATACGCTCGCGCGGATCGTCGCGGTTTAGTCTAAATTTAGTGCGCCCGTTGCGCGGTGATCACTATCGAAAAGGCGGAGAGCCTCTAAATATATTGACTTCGAAATCGCGATGTATGTGTTAAAAATTTTCTTCTGCTCGCCCAACAGGAAGTAATATACGAATAAATCATTCGTCCTACGATCTGTGGTTTTCTCTCTACGGTAATCGACCGCCCGACGCCTTCACCTGATTCCCGGCAACCTTGGGAATCGCGCCGATTATCTTGACACGATTCTGCGCCATTGTCTGCTGCTGCTGTTGTGTTTGCTGTTTGTTATCGCAGAACTGCGGCGGAGGTGCGAACACCACCACTTCCTGGTCTTGGCCACCGGCAGACGGACCGGCGTTGAATTCCGGCGGCGGCGGTACGAAGAGATCATTGTTCTGCTCTTCAGCATCAGCTTCGATCGGAGGCGGTAATTGCGCCAGGCTGACTGCGTGCCTGGTCAGCAAACCGCTGCCACCATAGCCTGATCGTTTGGTCTGATTGCTTTCCTTTTCGATCGGGTTGGCGCCGGTTAGCAGAGTGCCTCCCGGCATCGAGTGCTGGTTGCTCTCCTGATTAGCCAGATTCCGTGCAGCGGTGTCGTCGAAGCCCATCGGTGGACCCACCGGCACATCTTGATCTGAGCTGACGCCGCTCGAGCTATTGTCACCGTCCTCGACGAGCGATTGCTGTGTTTGCTGTAAGAGAAAATCGTTCGGATGACTCTTGGACGATTTTAACTGCGTGCGCACTTTCTGAATCTCCTCGACACTAAACGAATGTGGTAGCGAACCACTGCCCGATGAACTCGAGCCAGATGTGTTGGAGTTGCCGGACGTTTCTCGCGTTGCTTCCAGCTTCTCTCGTGCCGCCGCCTTCTCTAGTTCCTTCGCAATCTCCGATTCGCCATCTTCATCCGTTTCATCTTCGCCTTCATCATTTTCCGACTCCGACAGACTGTAATCTGGCTCGGGGATTGGCGGCGCCGAGGAAGGTGGTGTGGGTGCTCCATTCGCGCCGGACGCGATCGACGAAAGATTTGTGACGGACGAGCTGGTGTTCACGACAGTCTTCTTCTTTCGCTCACGAATACCAGCCGTGCTGTGACTCCTGGTGGTCTTCAACGGTTGCGCGTACTGATTGTTGACCGAATTATTACTGTTTCCGTTATTGTTCATATTGATATTGGTATTCAGTGCCTGTTGGCTGCCGGTCGACTTGAATGTCGTGCTGCTCGGTGTGCCGCGTAGACTGTGAGACTTTCTCAGATGTGGACGATTAGCCGGTAGACTACGCGAGCGATATCCAACAGTCTTCATATCTTCCGGCGAGGCGTACAGTTTTGCGCTATTCGACGGCCGAAAACTCGACATCACTCCATAAACACCATCGACTGCAGCTGCTGCGAGTTCTGCGTGTAAATATAACAATATTTATCTCATGGTGCAAAATATTGAAAGAATGAAAATATATTGTACTGTATTAAAGATATACTTATTTTGATCAAAGCCTAGAATAAATTATTTTAATATGATGGAGAGTTCTAAAATAAAGTTGGCAAAAAATGATTATTACCTTTGACTTGCTGGATGTGTGCCATATTATCGTAAACCGAGGCTGGTGTAACGACGTCTGGCACGTTTGCGCCAACATTTACCTTGACGACTTGCCCGACCGGCGGAGGTGGCGGCGGATGATTCGGAGGTGGAAGCCCATTTCTACCGTTTAGAGCATTTACGTCTTCTTGACTTCTATGACACTTGGGCGCTAGAAGGGACGACGATTGCGCTTGCACGTTGAGATCCGGTGTGCTATGGAAGTCCCTGTGAAGATCGGAACCGCCGCCCAAGCCACCAAAGAAGCGTACTCTTGATTGCGACTGCAAACGTAAAAACAAGAGGCTCGTACGGATTTGCAAACGCCGACGTCGTTGTCTTGCTAACTTTGAAAAACTTGGAGCGTGAAGAATTTACAAAAAATTGCAATTTAAAATTTCGTGAAGGGACGAGGAATAGAGTGAAACAAACAGTAAAAGGACGTTGGAGAAATGTGATACAAGGGTAGAAGCATATTCCTGCTAAGCGTGAACTCCAAGCTACTGTAATCATCTACTATTACTGTCTCAGCAAAATGTCATTTAAGTGTTAATATTGTCGAATATTGCGAAGAACGCAGTTACGTATTATTAGCCTTCCATGCTTATAGAACCAATCCTGAAAAGCGACTTAAAAAACGCTGAGCAAAATCGCTGAACTTGGTTAAATGCAAATGCGGCAATTAGTTAATCATACTTGAGGCGTGAACACGAAGCTGAATGGTGACACCTAACGTCCTCGCGGACGTCAGATTTCTTTTCATTTAGCAAATGGCTTAGTCACCTGAAATCATGCAAGCCATGGACGAGCTAGAAACAAAGTATTTTCGATCAGTAATATAAGTAGTAGTCCTCGTCATCTCGCCCGCACCAGGACCGTCCTTTGCTGTGCGCTCGCACCGGTTTACGCGCAAACTATAACACACGTGCAAAAGAAAACAGCCACCATTACCATTGCCCAAAGAGAAGAGCGTTCACCGAACGCCGGACGACGGTTTCGACTTTTGGACTTTGACGACTCTGGTAGACTTTTCTTACGGGGTAATCTCCTTAACCGTCGAGTATTGCGTCAACGAATTACTATTGATGGGTATGATAGGAAAAGTAGTGAAAAAGAAACGTGTCTATTAGATTCTATGGAATGATTAAAAATATAAGTTGTCTAAAGGGATGTCAAAAAGTTCGATCAAACTACTAATGGATGAGATGAACAAACAAACAAGACAAATAAATTAATAGCTAGTATCTAGGGTAGATTTCATCGAAGGGCTTATTGTTAACTATAGGGTTAATGTTAAAAAGAGAAACGCGAACGAGAGGGCGAGTGCGAGCTCGTAACTGAGTGGCAGGTCATCCTTACTTTGCCCTTGCGCTTCATCTCCGCCACGCTCGCGTATACCCTGCCGGTCTTGGCAGGCGACGACGGATGCGACTTGGTGGACTGACCAGTAGTAGTCTGAAAGTGAGAGGAGCTCATCATGGACGAACTGTATTGACCACCGGCGCTACCCTGCTGTCGCTGAAATAGTTCCTGGAAGAGAAATTAAAGGACGAAGCTGAAGCCTCGGTCTCGTCTCGTGCATACAATGCCATTCAATTCGAGGACAACGAGCGCACGGATAGATTCTGTGATCGAGTGAAAGAAAAAGAGAAGGAACATGTTCGACGCGCGTGCCACAAGCGGATGATAGATAATTACTTCAAGTTCCGCGGCAGTGATTCTGCTGGAGGTCGGACGTGATCGAATGCTGGCTGTTCTCGGTTGTACTGGTGTGTTCTGACCGGTGTTCGGTCCAGTTGATGGCTGCTGCGGCATGTGAATCGATTCCGCACTACTTGACTTCGCACCAGTCGATGCTATCTCGTCGCGATCGTCCCTTTCGCCTCCTCCTTCTACGAGAGACATCACAAACACGAAACATCATTAAAATATACAATATAACATGAATGTTTCACAATGCCTACTGTACATCAGATCGATCTATTACCTAATCCTGCGACCATTGATCGCGCTCTCGCTCGTCCCACGCTTAGCGTTGTCTTCGGATCTCTTCGAGGCGGTACAGGAGCTGGAGACCTGCCAAGCGTACCGCCGATCACTACGTTGTTATTACCCTTGCGCGGCAAGGTTGCATATTGTCTCTGAATCGGTTGACTAGTTGGCAATGCGGCCGCCGACTGAGAATTCGGAAGACTGATCACCGGCGAGACCACGGTCATTCGCACCAACTCTCCCGATTTCCTTATCAGATCGACCACGTGTTCATGCGAAGCCGTCGTTACGTCTTCGCCATTGATCTTGAATAATCGTAAAAGAAAAGTGCAATATAATTTAAAGCATACAAAATTATGAAATTCTATACTACAATTTTTAGAAATAAAAGTAATTTTTATCGTATTTAGCAGTAAATTAACATCTATAAACTTACTTGAATGAGAAAATCTCCTTTTCGGAGACCTGCTAAGTCAGCTACACCTCCTTGATCGACATCATCCAGATATTGTAATGCTGGATATTTGGCTGACGGCGTGAGTTCCATTAGTGGCGAAGTAGCCTTGGCGCCACGCAACACGAAGCCGAAACCTTTCCTCGAACGATGAAGAACAACAGTGCGGGGCTCCGACGTGACACTGAGAGTTCAAAGTCATTATTGTATCCTTCATTAAATTAAGAACGTGTTAAAAATTGATTGAGCGTGGAACTTACGGTTTCTTTAATCTAGGTGCGGTAGCGAAGTACTTGTGTTGCGATTCTCTGCGGCCTAAAACTCGATTTCGTCCGTCCCTGGCAGGTTGTGGACCCAGAGGTATATTCGTGTGGCGCAGCCGAACTTCTTGAACGCAATGCGCAGGGAATAGACCAGTACCCTGTCCGCGTAAGACCCCCTCCAGGAGGCCGCAGTCGGTCGCACCGGTGACTGTTAAAAATAAAGAAACAAAAACACGCTTGCAATTAAAAAAATATTTCTGGTCGTTACCTATAAAACAGAAATCGAGAGAGACAGAGTGAGACGTCTGTCGTCCCAATTATACGGTGTTGATGACGGTGTCATTAACAGTGTTCAAATGGGGAAAACGGAATATCATGGGACATCGAACGAGCAACATTATGTCGTCGTCGATTACGAAGTCAACTAGACGAGAGAGGAGTACATTTTGTTGGATTTGCCTGGTGGTGTACCTTCAAGGATGTCTCCTTGATTGATAGTCAGATGGCCGGTGATCCCGCTGCTGTAGTTCTCCACGCAGACCACCGTCGTGCCGGGAATGGATAATGAATTGGTCGTGTCGGACTGCGAGGTTCCCACCCCGGAACTGTCGCTGATCACGTCAGACGCCGTGTCGCCGAGGCTCTTGTCTAGAAAATCGACAACGATCGGATATACTCAGCGTGATGTCTCGTGCTTCGCCCCGCATCGCTTTACCGAGCGATAAACGCCATGCAAGAAATCGAAATCCTTAAGAAAAACAGAGAAAGAAAGAGAGAAAGAGAGAAAAAGAAAAAACGGCTAACTCTTATAACGCTAAATCAAAACTTCAGCGCACTCGATCTCAGAAAAATCAACTCAATTCGATTCGCCTATAGATTGTGCTCTACGACGGCAAAGAGCTCTAGAAATCGCCAGTCGCGTCACATTCATCACATCCTAAAATGCGGCCGCTAATGAAAATAAGCGCAACGTGTCTCTCCACGAGCGAGACCTCGCGTCGAGCTCGCTCGCTGGATTGGCAAGGAAGAGCCATCAATTCGGGATCTCTAATATCCTCGGGGACACCAAAAACGGAAGCATGCACGAACCATCAAAGCCATCGTCCGATTAACTCTCTCATCATGTCGTTTGACCACCTTTGCGTACCGCCGCCGGTTTTTGGTGGTGATGGTACATACATCATGACGATGGTCCGTCATTTTAAGCGCGATATGCTGAGCAAAAGAAACAACCGTCCGCTTCCTTATATTTTTGGCAGTTGGCTCTCTTGTGGAATCCGGGGTATCTACCGATGTTCGTGTTTTCGCTGTTCGTTCGTGGATCATTGAGGAGCAGACTTCTCTGTTCTGGTCCCCTCACCATCGTAAGGCGGGCGCAGAGGGTAGGTTGAAGGGGATAGAATGAGAAAATAATAGTGTACCTGTGACGATGCTGGCCGAGTCTTCGCCGGACGGCTGATTGCTGCCTTCGGACAAGCTCGAGCTGGCCGAGCTGAAAGGTGCTAAACTCCTACTGCTCGGTGACGGCGATGGCGGCATCTCCATCTGCGATCTATGCATATCGAGGCGATGCTGCAGCTCGAGTCGGTGCTCTTGCAGCCTCGTCAGACCCTCCATTCTCAAGTTCGAATAATTCTCCGCGGCGCTCGGCAATCTTGAAATGGTGCGTACAACTTTTAGGGTACACCGGCGATCGATCGCGCTTCGCGCCGATCAAGACCAAGATTCGCGTGGCGATGCAAGACTGCATTTCTTTTTTCTTTTTTCTTTTTTTTTTTTTCTTTTTTTTTTTTTCTTTTTTCTTTTTTTTTTTTTCTTTTTTTTTTTTTCTTTTTTTTTTTTTTTCCAGTCAGCCACACATGAATCGGTCCTGATCAGGGTGAAGCATCGGTGACCGCGCGAGCGTACCGAACGAACGTTGTTGCTTGCGAGTGTCGACCGAACTCGAAGCGAGAATTATCTTTGTCGAATTCTGATGAATCTCCCCGGGAGAGGAGAAGAGTTTCTTTTCTTCCCTCCCACATGTCCGCTTTCGCTTTAATCACGCGATTTTATCGCGTTTTGTCCAGCGATCGGCGGCGCTCGCGCACGATTTTCTTGTCTATGCTTACCTCACGTTAGGATCTCTCAAGGAATTTGGACTCTGGTACTCCGACGTCAGTCGGTGGCCGTTCTGTTCGGACGGTATTCTCGGTAAATCGTTTCTGCTCGATTCTACGGACGGTACTCTGCCGAGGCTTCCATGGTGGCTCGATTCGGTCGTCTGACCGACGATCGTGATCCCACCACCGGTGGAGGGATATTGTTCCGTGGACGGTACTCTGGTCAGGCCCACCGCGGCGGTTGGGTACTGCTCCGTGGACGGTACTCTGATCAGCGTATTAGTGGTCGGGTATTGCTCGGAGGACGGTACTCTGATCAGGGTGGCATCGTATCGCTCGCCGGATGAGGCTCTGTTAAGCATAGCACCAGGCGGCGCGTATTTCTCCTCAGACGCGACCCGAACAAGTATGCCAGACGACGGAGGTGGTGGATACGGTTGTTCCGTGGACGGTACTCGGTTAAGACTCACGGTCACTGCTGCGGTGGTAGCGTATTGCTCGGCGGAAGGTACTCGCGTGATACTCGAGTACTGTTCCACTGAGATGGTTCTGGTAAGGGTACCAGTGGTACTACCACCGGTGCTAGACATCATCGCGTGCTGTTCGGTGGATGGTATCCTGGTGAGGGTGCCCAAATTGCTCGCTGAGCAGCTCGTCGTCATCATTGAAGAAGTGCCACTGAAGGCCACCGAGCGTCGTTTCGGGTTGTAGCGTGGCGGTCCTTTAAATGGTACTGGAAAATCGCAAGGGTTGCAAGGTTAAGTAAAGAAAAGATTACTTAGCCTTACAAGAGAAAAGGCGCGGGCAATGTATTCTGCCGTCTTCTCAGACGAGCGTCGACACGAGTCTTCAGGGGCGAAACATGAAAATCATATCGAGCGATTAATATTGCATTTGGATTACGATCGTTCGGAAAGAACGCGAGCTAGAAATGCTGAACCCTAAACAGTTAAAAACTTTTCTCGATTCCAATCAAATATATTCCATACATAATCATTTCTATACTAATCTAATTTCGTATCTTATCGTATTTTGTCAAGGTTCATCAAATTTCTTTTTTAAAACCTGATGATCTAATAGCACATCATGTCATCTTAAAGTTCTGAAATCATAAATAACGAAATCATATATAAATACCGCTTGTACTGTCTAGGGTTAAGAGGATAAGTTATACGTTTATAAAGAGCTGCGCGTTACACGATGAGGACAATATTTCGTGAACAAAACAGATATCGAACAAATTACTTAATCAGCGAGTGCGTTAAGTATCGCGACAGCATTTATGCGTCGTTAATTTATCCGCGTTTAATCGATATGCGAGTGTTAGTTGCGCGATACATTATGTTTGTTAAAACGAAGAGTTACAGCAAGAGCTCCGAAGACTCCATTCTCCACTATCGATCTTCCGGTGTTCCGACACGGAAGATCATTGTGCGGGATTTTTGCAAAGCAATCTTACAAGCGGTCGCCGTGTCGCATACATAAGCACGCACGCATACACGCGCGCACGCACAATGTTATTTCGTGATGGCGACGATGATGGTTATTGGCTTCTCCCCGGGTAACCCCGGATAACCAGATATTGCACTCGTCGTTTTAGTACCGACATGTACAGGGCGTCTCGGAGCCAACAAAAGAAAAGTAGACGATGTTACGTCTTATGAAGTTGTCGGCGAAAATATCCACGTACTAATCATTTTCAAAGTATAAGCTAAATTGAAAAATCATTCGGGCATTTAACTTTAAAGAGTAACGAAAACATATATCACTGCAATATCATTAAGCTAACCCAGAGCGCACTTTATTTTAATAGAATTTTTATTTGAGATTTAAGTAAAATTAAGATAAAGTAAAACTTGAATAACGTTAATGCTTTCATCAATTCCGGGCTACCCTGTACAGACGGAAAAGCTGTAGAAAGCACACGCAAGGATAACGACGACTCCATCCCCGTTCTGTTGTATCCGTTTTGTGCGATACAATGTGCTCGAGATTACGGGTAAATTTCGTCGGAATACGTCATGTGCACAGACGATCGACATCGCCATCGTCAAGTCGTCGGAAATGTGTTTCTTCAGGTTCCTTGTAGGCTTTGAAAACTCCGACGACTCGCGGGGACCACGTCGATTCACAACGTATCTCGAACTACCAAACATTACTAGTCAAGACATTTTTGCAAATTCAATGCTGCCAGAAAAAAAATCTACAATTCAACGCGTCATCATGTTCCATACAACGTAAAAATACGTTCGATTTGCATATTGCCGAACGTTTTTAAACAAAATTTAGTAAAATATAAATAACTCGGAAACAAATGTAATAATAAAATATCTTCTTTAAAATGCAACAAAATATTCTAATCCAAAATTTGACAATTTTAATCAATTAATTTATTAGTTAATTATAAAGTCAGAAAATTATTTATTAAAAACATTATTTATTTAAAATTTGACACTTGTCGGTTATAAGGAAGATACGAGCTTTTCCGATCCGGCAACACTGATTCATTCGACAGTGAACCAAAAATACAGTACCATTAGTTACTGGAAAGCAATCTATCAAGAGGTAGTGTCGTTACTTCTTCGATATCACAAATGTACTCGACGTTATACACGACCATCACCACCAAAAATCCCATGACAAATGATTATATCTTTACGTTACTCATCACACAGCACAGACACAGGTAGATAGAGGTACATTGACACACATACGTCACGCTCACAACGCTCATCTCGCGTGTAATATACAAAATTCCAGAAGCACCCTCTAAGTAACTACAATACAATACGAGAGAAACTACCTGCTGATGCCTACCTCTATATTACAGGAAAAGCAGCGTGCACATGCTCATGCCATGCTCGACTATAATAATGCCACACAAAAACATATATGTTTTGTAGACCACGATCTCGTTTCTTATCAGATAACATTTGTGAACCTTATCGTCGCACAATCGCGGCCATATACTACTTTATTTCAACAAACTAATTGCAGATATTAGATATCGTAGATATCGGCCTCAAAATACACGATATCGTCAATAATCACGGCAACGACATCACGATAATTAACTATTCTCAAGGTTCCGAAACCATTTCAATTATCGAACCGATCGCAGAGATTGTATCGAAAATAGTATCGGATTATATTAGAAAAATTCCCCAGACCCGTCATGAGTTCGTCGCAGAGTTTTAACTTATCTAATAAACGGTACACGTTCCTGAAGAGGGGATTGGAATCAAATAGCCACGCTGATAGTTTTCGCGGGTGTGGCGATTGAATATGGAAAAATCTTGTCGAGTAACAAGATTACGGTTATCCGTCTTCTAAGCCCGTTCGTCCCATTTGTGATCCCGGAAGGACGATCACCGCTCGGCGTTATCATCCTTGCGCGAGCAACGAGCTGACGGAACAATGTTCAAGAGAAAAAGAGAGATAGAAAGAGAAGCAAGAACGCGAATGGACGGGGGGGGGGGGGAGGAAGGGAAGGAAGGTGCGCGAACAATGTTCAAAAGAAAAAAGGAGAAAGAAAGAGAAGCAAGAACGCGAAGGGGGGGGGGGGGGGGGTAGAAAGGTAAGAAGAGATCGTCAACGTCTGTCTTGTCTGTTTATTCTTGCAGCATCATGCCTCGACCTCTACAAGCAAGTTTTCTGCGTCCGGATATTCGCGCCCCCGCATTCCTCGCTTCTCCTACTCATCGCGGAAGAACGATGATTTTTTTTTACATTTCGTGCGACGTTCGTAACTCACCAACTTCCTCCGATTGATAGTTCTTGATGACTTCGGCGAGCTCCATGTTGCCCGCGATCACGGCGACTTGGTACGGTGTTTGGTTCGCGTAGTTGAGCGCGTCCTTCTGCGCGCCCCTGAAGAGTAGCTGACGTATGCACGAGGCGTCCGTGTTATTCACCGCACACACGTGCAACGGCGTGTTACCGGACGCGTTGCGCGCGTTCATGTCAGCGCCGTAGAAAAGCAGGTGGTCCAGATGCTGCACCAGATTGTTGCGACATGCCTGCAGGCATACGACAGAGTAGGCGCGTATTAGGCGCGGAAATCGTTCAATGGAGTTCAAGCCGCATTCTTTGCTAACTCGTTGCCAGCGCGTTCTCATTCGAGCACTTTTTCTTATGCGAGAAATTATGAATGAACTCGTAATGGCAATGGTCTCGCTTTACGAGAAATTAGTCTTACGAAAAAATTATTAATCTCGTTAAAAGATAAGATTTCTAATCTAGTTGTTATAAAAAAATTATCACAAAGTATGCGTTACGTTGAAATCTTATTAATGTAATAAAAAGATTAAACGAAAGGTTATCAAATCTTATCAAAAATTCATTGAATTATATATAAGAATGTTCGTAAGAAATATGACTCTTCCTATACTCTTTTATCTTTAGTATATCGATATAAAACTCCATTTGTTATCCAATAAAAATCTACAGAAAGAAGCACAACCTGATGAACTTCCTGCCAGCCCTGAAGATCCTGAGCTCCTATCGTCGCATGATCGTGAAGCAACGTCTCGCAGAGCATCGGATCGGTCTTGTAAATGACACTGTAATAAAGCGGCGTCAAGCCCTTGGTATCCTTGTAATTTGGACTAGCACCCAGTTCCAGAAGCGTCTTCACCGCCTCCAAACTGTTCCGTTCAACAGCACGGTGCATCGCTGTCAAGCCCTCTTTCGTTCGATAGTCCAAGAGAGCACCGCCATTGACCAATGCAATTATAACCTTGGATGGTTTTTTCAAGGTCGTTGCCAAGGTCAAAGGCGTCTCTGGAATCGAGAAAATTTTTAATGATTGTTTTAATGAGTTTGCGATATTTTTCGTATAAAATAAAATACATGAAATATTAATTCTAATTAATTTTAATTAATTCTGTAATTTTGTATATATACTATTATCTGTATGATAAAATATAAATATTACAACTTACTTTCAGTTTGATAAAATAATAATCCAATAAAACGATTACATAATAATCATCTCAAGATAAATATTTGCATGTCTCGTTGAGATGGAATTGGTAGAAATCGCTCTATCACTCCTAAGTCACTTTGTAATTTTCTCGCAATTGTGCATGTGAATTACCTCCTGTTTCCTGACAATGGAAATTAGGATCCAGCCCCTTGCTGCACATTTTCGCGATCTTCTCGACCTGACTGCTTTGCACATAATCCAATAACCTTCGTAAATTCGTCCTAGTGTGCATAGCCTTGAGCTGTTTCTCATCCAAATGCAGCATCTTGTAAACTCGCCTCTTATATTTAAGCTGAAATTGATTTGGCAGTGATATAACTTATACTTTCTAAACACGCGATCCGTTGCTGTTAGAATGGCTATTAACAATGTGTCACTTTCCGTCTCATCGATGTAAAAGCGTGAAATTTATTGCACCCTGCTTGACGCGAATTAATTATTTCTATATTACACGCGATAATGCAGCGGATCAAATAAAACCGTAATACCTGTCGATAGTAAGATACCCGGATATTTCGCTATCCGACTATTCGTCGCGTGCAATTTGTCACGGTATAGACCAGCAGTAGCTCCTAGTAGTACTTATGTAAATACATCGCGAGGGAGAACACTGCGCATGGCTATCGCGTGAATGTATCTCATCGCCAGATCGTCTCACTTGGACGGTTATAATTACTTTCTTACAATCTACTATGAATACGTTCACGCGTATTTCTCTGTTATCGATGAATACGCAATAAACCGGATGTGACATAAGGTGTAAAGTACAACTATGCCTTTAGGAAAATGGAACTCGGAATGGATTTACTCTTTCTTCCTACATTATATATTTCTATATATGCCGAAATAAAATTTTTGTTGAATTCTCTGAAAATTAATAGGAAAATACGGTTCTCTTATTTCTCTTACAATTTCATTTGTTTAATTTTCTAAAATTTCTTACAATTTTTTAAGTAATATTAATATACCGTAAAATGGAATACTTTTCAAAATCGGGGTAATTCTGACATAAATTTAATAATGTCCAGACATAACGCATACCCGAAATCACGACTTATACCGTCTCGGTGTTAGCGAAATTTGGGCTAAAGTATCCTACTTTATAGTACCTATGTTTGATTCGATTTATAAAAAAAAGCAACTTGTTTTTTGTTTAATCACGAATAATACAATTGGAACAGCATTGTGAAAACGGTGTCGCGAAGAATCACATCTCATCATCTATCGCGCCACTTCTTTTCGACGCGACCGCGTGGCCGCATTGAATGCGACCAATAATAGCAAGATAAAGACCACTGTGCCAATGCGTACAGTAACGCCGGATGCGTAAGTGCATCGCGCTGTCATCAGCCGGTTTTATCGCGTTATGAATGCGGACGGACGCGCTGAACAGCAGCTCGACCTAACGGTACCGCTTATCCCAACTTTGATACTGACACAGAGCGAATATCGAGCGAGATTTGAGGGTGAAAAATGAGAATTGAGCGATGCGCGTTCCTATCTTGCCTACGAAATTTCACCAGAAGAGTTTGTTCACTCTACCAAGAAGCGACAGGAAGCGAATATGTCAGGTGGATAAAAAAAAGCAACCACGGTGAAGCAGCAAAGTAAGTTTTTACACCGAACCGGCGAAGTATATTCACGAGATGAAATCGAGAAAGAACACATAATTCATGCTGATCTTGAATAGATTCCTCAATGTTGCGTATGACGAACTTGCCCGAGGTAACTCTCTCTCTCTCTCTCTTTCTCTATTGATAATTAATTATTCCCTGGCGCTCAGCTGACAGCCACCGCCGAGCATACGTAGTCAATTTTTAATTTTTCATCGGATTCATGATTTGCCAAAGTGGCTTCTTATCCACGTCCCGCTCCAATTGTTCAATAATACGTAACTCGTGCAAAATGATGGATCGTCAGGTTATCAAAGGAAGTGGCATAAATCGAAGCGGCCCTGAAATTAACTTCCTCCGATTTTCGTGACGAAAACGAGATTGAAATTGGCAGTAGGGATCGATTATTATAATAAAAAAACTTTATTGACACGAGGCTAATATATAGTATTACGGCGAAATACCAGCGAATTGAATGTAAAGTTCAATTAGTATTCAACTAATATAGTATGTAACAATATCCCGGTCGTAACCGTATATCTTATTCGATAAAGATCTTCCCGAAATAATTATCGCTTCCCCATTGAGAAATGCAAAAATAAAATAAAATTATTTCGTCTTTTCTTCTTCTCTTTTTCTTGTCACTCATTTAATCTACTTTATTAATTTTCAATTTTGAAAAATTTATTAATTTATTAATTTTAATAAATTTATTGCGTACTAAGAAGTGATTATTGTATTATAAATCTTGCGACGGTTTGTCAAGATAATGACCAGCAACGCTATTGTTAATTAAATAATAGCAAGCAAATCTTGATGAAACGTAATACCTTAAAGAACCCGCAACACCTATGTTTACGAAGAGAATGCAGTCCCGCTGTAAAGGTATTATTGTTAAGACAGATCTTTGCGACATATCCACAGACTTATGGTTTTCGAAAGCACAGGGCCCATTGTTGTCCAGTGGGGATCCTGCTGACAGGCGTTAGTTAAATGTGAGTTTTTCGCCGACGGGCCCCATGTAATTTGTAACTCGTGCGAGGTGAATGCGGCTTAAAGATGGTTCAAAGAAGCTGTATGAGTCAGCCGTCCCTGAAAGTGAATCTCCCGCGACGAAGCGGGGACGTGCAGCTGGCACGGTGGAACCGATCGGGATCGACTGAAGAAGAAGAAAAAGAAGAAGAAGGAAAAGAAGAAGATAACTACAACGACGACGCAGGGAACTCGACGAGGTGGATGGTGATGAGAACTAGCACCGATTACGTAAGAAAACCGCGGGATAGGATCCAGATCTCGTTAACCCGGGACCGGATTATTTGTTTTTCGCAAATCCCCGTTTCAAGTCATCACCGGTCGAGCTGTACAAGAGCGCGCGCGCGCGCGCGCGCGGATTCGTCGCACCGCGACCACCGAGTGATTTATGTATAGCGAGGATAGCGAGGATCATCGCGATGATTAATTACATTATACGTACTTCCGCAACCTCTCTTTTTCGTTATATATTATGAAAACGGTTATAGTTTTGCGGGTCTTTAATTTGAAATTGAAGATATCATCAAAAATTTCACCTTTTTGAGTCATCATCTTTTTAAAATTGACTTACAACAAAAATTCGAACCAATAAAGGCTTGTGAAAAAGTGCAAATGTCATTTACAAATGTATTGCCACATCCTATTTTTCCTATTCGAATAATAAAATAAATCTTATTTAAGAAGATAATTCTAGATCCCAATTTTTTATAATTAGATTCTTTTTTTATGTCAAATATCATCTTCAATTCTGACATATTTTAAGTGTCGCGCATATGTTAAAGAATATTCCTGTCTTCTCTCGTTATTTAGCTTAGAAACGTAATTAGATCCTATCAGGCGTGAAGTGGGTCTGCTGACAGCTTTAATGCGCACGCGAGGAAGTTACTTAACCCTTCCGTTACTAAAACGGGAAGCCTTTGCCGTACACTCACTACCACACGTTACTAAAACCGACTGTAATCGTCCGACTGAAATAAACATATTGACATTGTCTTCCCTCCCAATTACAATAATAAATGGAATTAGCACGATCGATTCTTGGACTATACGCGAACAATCGCAGATTAGAAAGAATGACTTAACAAGAAATAAAAGGAAGAGAATGCAATTTCTTACCTCCAGATACCCGACGGGTCCATTGAAAGGATAATCGCCGAGACGGCGTTCCTCGTCCAGGAATTTTCCGGCTTTTCCATTCACCGGCGGGCAGAAGAGGCCGTAATTGAAGCTCTCCTTCAGCTCCTGTAAGGCGATGAAATTTTGATATTAAGGCACAAGTAAATCGCGCGAGAGAGGATCAAAGCGACCCGCCACCCCCACTTTTCCTGACTGACACATGCATGTAGCAATAATAACAAGCATCTTTCAGAGGTAATATTCAGGCATACGATTCACAATTACTTTGTAAGACATTCTCTTTTCAATAATAATCATGCTTATTTGATAATTGGACGACTCAATGTATTGCTTAATATTTATATTGCATATGGTGCACTCAGTGTGTACATATCGTCAAACATCAATACGATTAATGTTATCAATATCCACATAATTCGATGTAATTTACTCCAACGATGTTAAACGATAAATAAAAACATTAATTTATTTGATTTAAAATTAATTCAGATTTTATGAAAATTATTATTTCCATAATTTCTTTTTTAAAATTATATTTAAAATATTTATAATTATAAAATATAATTATATTTTTAACAGATATTTATCTCTCTAAAAAGATATATATTGTTTATTGCGTGTGATCACAGTTCTTACGAATTCACTAGAAAATTCTCTTAAGCCAATATCTTTAGTATTCATAGGCACAGGGAATAATGTGACAAACTACTTTTTCTCTATGAATACCAAACAAGGATCGGAGAAAATCAATTCTCGATTACATTAATAGTATTTACGACGTTCGACAACGGCGGCGGAATGCTCTTTCTCGCGATATTATAATATTTAGCGTTTAACGAGTAACGACTCGAGATAGGCGAAAAGCAACACTGAAGAACGCGCGTGCCATGCATATCCGAGAACCGCGTATTATCACCATATATTCCACTTATGCCACGCGAAAGATCGGCGACGATGCGAAGGAAGACAGTCAGGCCAACCCGACAATCATGGCAACAATAGCCAAGAGTGCAACACGTGCCAAATTAAAGGTTTCGTACATAAAAAGAACGGGAGTCTCCGTACCTTGCCGTACCGATGGTGGAGGTGTGGTCGACCATGGAAAAGTCACGAAATATGAAAAAAAGGCAGCTGACGAGTGAGAAAACGGATGTGAACATTTAATAGCAGATGCTTCAACGTTTTTTTTTTCATATATGGCATAGAGAGTATCGACTTAAAGACACTCGCAATCGATAAATTATCTTGAAGACATCTATTTCAATAATCATATCACAGCGAAGAATCTTAAACAATTTTTTAAGTAAAACTTACATCTATATCGCTCATTGAGATTTTAAATATGGACATTTGATCAAAATAAAAGTAACAGTGCGACACAGCGCGTTCTAGACAGGATTATAGAACAGCAATTGTATTCTGTCATTTTTAGAGGTTTCCTCTGGCTGTATTTAATGTGCTTTCCTCAAGGTTCGTATTTACAAGTAATATAACGTCCTCGTTTCGCTCTCCATTCGCGAAGCCGACTCAATAATGCGTCCGTGACACGCTCGTCAGTGGTTTCCTTCGTCGCGCAAAGCTTCATCGTGGGACGTCAAAATTGAGATTTGCAACGCGTATGAATAAAAAGATAAAGATGAAGATGAAGAGGCAGGCTTATATCAGATTTACAGTAAAGTTCTATTTAAACAAAATTTCCAAATACATATTCTTTTTTAATAAAAATAACTAAGGTATTTTTTCCTATCACGTCCATTTATTCTGTGTCAAAGAATAATTTTTTTTTATCTTCTTTTAGGCCTAAATTAATTCCTAAAAACTTCTTAATGATACACAATGGTTGGATATAACAATAGAAGTCAAGCACGGTAATTCTTGTGCAAACGGTTAACAAAACAACTTTATTAATAATTAATCCATTTACATGTTTCAGATCATTTTTGAGCTATCCTCAGAGACAGTATGATGTTGTACATCACAAAAAAAATTTTTTTCTTTCAAACTAATTCATTTCAGTCAGCCATCTCCACCTATTAAACTATAATATAAAAAACGGAAATTATAATATAAAAAAAACTTTAATAACAATCTAAAGTGTATTAAAATTATTAAAAGGTAAATTTTTTGGGGAAGCAAAAACAATTATTGTAAAATAATAGAAGATAAAACAAAAATTCACTATACAGCAAACATTTAAATTCTATAGGTTTAGTCAAAAATTAGTCAATGACCATTCAGCGAATCAGTGTCAATTATGTTATGAAATTAATGGATAACTTTTAATACTCTAGAACGTTAATCGCAAAGGAAAAGAAAAAAAAAAGGAAAGAAAATTCTGATATTAATTATAGTTCAGATGAACATCAAAATCAAAACTGAATCTTTAATAATTTAATCTTAATGTAACGAAGAATATACACTGATCTTGTACTGTGATTCTCTTGTTTTATAATAAATCGTTTTTGCTTCCCCAAAAAATTTACCTTTTAATAATTTTAATACATTTTAGATTGTAATGTGTATTTACGAAAATTTAATAACCAATTAAATAAATTAAATTAAGGAAAATATTTCTTGTGAAAATCAAGATTCGCACACTGAGAAAAATTTTTGATTAAAAATGGACGAATCAGAAAATTCAAATCAATTAAAATTCTGGTTACTTTAAATAGAATTATAATAGATATAATAGAGAGAAAATTCTGATTTGTTATTTTCAATCAGAATTCCAATTAATATAATCAGACTCTTTCCAGTGCACCCTTCCTTAATTTATTGATCGATGCGTAAGATCAAACTTGCCTAATTGACGTAAATTGAGTAAGACGAGACGCATAATTTAATGGAGCGAAAGAGAAATTACACAGGAACGGAAGCATTGTTCGTTCGATGAATGGTTCGCGAGTGGTTCGCCTCTGTCACTCATTACATCCTGGACAAAAATGAAGCAGTCCTGCCAAACCGGCGTTCCTACTCTAATTAGTGCCGCGGTAATTGTTTCATAAAGTCCAAAGAGGCGGCATAATCGCACCATAGTGAAACGTGCCTCGCGAGTTTCTTCGATTACCAGGAGAAAGGCAAGGGGTGAGAGGCAAGGTCATAGGAATCAAGAGTGGAAAAAGTCAGTGATCGACGATTAAAGTAGAATCGAGAAGAATTGATTACCATTATCATCCTGCCTCGTTCATAACGTTTTTCGACGATACTCGCCATAAAGAAGAGAGCCATAAAGAACCGACCCCTTCGAAAGGCAAAGTCCCGAGGACCTCATCGTTCCTTCTCTCGTTTAAGCAATCCCCTTGTTCTCTAAAGAAATTTCCCGATTTTATCGTAAACTCTTCTGCGATATATTAATCTCTAAGGAAGATACACTTCCATGAAGATATACATCTCATCCTCAAGTATGAACAATTGCTTGTGTACAGCATGGGATCGTTCTTTAAGGCAACTTTTGTAGTCCGTGTTGAAATCTCACCGATACTATCGAGAATTCGCGAGAGAAAAATATTCTTGGTATAGCTCGGGCGCACACTAAAAAGAATTTATTAAATTTTAATAAATATTTGTTTAATTAGTGTTAACTGTAATAGCATTAAAAACGTTTACTTTATTGGGTAAATATTTGCTTGATAAAGAAATGATACTTAAATTAAATTAACGGTTCTCGTACTACTAAATAAATATACATTTAATAAATATTTAGTGCTATTCAAACAAGTATTAATTAAAATTTAATAAATTTTTCTTCAGAGTCTTTTCCGCTTTTCCTTTCGAATACGTGGACGTGCTCGCGCGTGCCGCGACCTAGATGAAGTATGCACGAGAAGAGGGTCGCCGCGTTAAACGGCGGGACTCTTGTACGGCCCTGTATGGGAGAATAATGGCCGAACCGTGTCTCAATCGTGCTTTATGGGATGTAATTGCGGTCTGGCGAGGGGGAGGGGGGGGGGCCAGCCTCGCCGATGTTTAAGCTCGGCCTGGCCTGGCCAGCGCCCGCGTTCGCGTTCGCTCGCACACGAGCAGTGCGGCGACGAGCAAGGCGGATAGGAGCGTTACGGTTTTAACCTTCGCAACGAAGCACGAAACGAGTTTTCGTCTTCTTGGGACGCGCCTTCGCCTTCGTGCTAGCGATCTCTCTGCTCGCTCTTGCGACCGATCGTCATCGTCCTCGTCGTTGACTCCGCGAATTGTTCTCCTCCGCGACTGACAACCACGAGGCTCGACACTCGAAATTTTTTTCACTCCAGCATGAGCGAGTTTTGTGAGAATTCCAATCATGGGAATCTCTCGTGGAGAAGCGGAGTTAAACCGGATCCTATCGAGGCCCACGTATGTTCTACTAAAAAGTATCGTAAAAGAGTTAATATATTTCAAATTATAAAAGACATTCCGCTTATGAAATCTGATCTGATTTGGGATTTTGCTCATTTCTCTATTTCTCATGGAAGTGGGCCTTGATTCATCCGATAATAAATACCTGTCGAATTTGAGCTATTCGATCTTATTCCACTTTCCCTGAGAGACGATCATCCGTACATCTGTTGGTTCACGACAACGATGACTTACGATCGCTTGTACAAAAAGACGGTAAGTGGCGAAAGAGGGAAACGAAGGCGAAAGGTAAAGGACAGAGGGAGTAGACAGGAAAGGGTGGAGGATGGACACAAAGGCGAGTGGAATCATCCGAAGTGCCGGACACAGCATCGGCGTTAAAGAGGAAATACGACCCATAAAATTTCGATCTACGCATCGGAGAGACTACGCGACGGAGAAAAAGAGAGGGTAAAACGGGGCGGCCATGGCGGAATACGAAATCAAATTGCCGAGACGCATCGAAAAAAGCAGTCATCGAGACTTTAATAGCGGTTCTTTGAACATCCGCTGGCTTACACGGCCACGCATCGCGAAAGGGTTTCGAATAAATGTTCGACTGTGAACTCTGCGATCATACGTAGCTGGGAGTAAACAAAATCGGTGTGATATTGGAACTCCTAATGGAATAAAAATTGGCGATAATCTTGTCAATCGAAATTGTCAATCATTACACGTCATGACGTGCCATGATATCACGAGATTTCTTTCTTCATATTTGATGTTAATAATAT